CTTAAGGTTTACCGGGGTGAACCCTATTTTCAACGTCAAATTAAAATTATAAATAATGGAGATAGAGTTTCGGAAGTAGGGACTTCTTTATCGGAAATTTCCTCCTCTTCAACGAGCTTTTTACAAAATTGCTTAAGTATTAATATTTTTTGAGTTATTAACGAAAAACTGAAAACCATCTTTTTCAATTTTATTTCGTTAATAACAATTGCAATTTTTTACCTGCACCAAAATCCTTCAAACACTTTTTTCTAGAGGTGATTCCGATTCGAATGAGCTATAGCTCCTATTTTTAGGACATTTATCTCTATTTTTCATGTTTTTAAACTTGTTGATCAGACTATATAAGGAAACAAGTATAACTGAAGCACCAGTCAATCTAATAATAACACTGATGATCTTCAAATATGACTCAACCTCGGATGGAAGCACGAAACTCTTACGAAGGTTCCAAATAGATGAACACTTCAATCTAGCAGACCATTATTATAATATTCATGCAGTCATTGTTCACTCTGGTTCTGGCGGTGAATTTGGTCATTATTACGCCTTGGTCAAAGACGAAACGGACTGGTTTAAGTTTGACGACAGTCGTGTCACCAAGTGTTCTGGCGAAGTATTGAATTTATTGTAGCCTCTGGAGACATCCTACATTTTGTTTCATGAGAGAGAGGACATTGGCGGATTAAGATCTTCACGTGATGTGGTGCTGCAGGTTTTTCCAGGTTTTCCTGCAGCTGAAAAAGCAAATGTGCCACTGGAATCAATGAGGTCGCCCCTAAACGCCGATTAATTTTTGGTGTTGTTTTATAATTTCTTGATTTGTGTTTTAGAAGTGTTTCAAATGTATTTTTTTCTTCTCTAATATTACTGAAAAAATGAATTTCTCCAGCCTTCAAAATTTTCCCACATCCCTTATAATTTATCATCAACTCTTTGGCTATTTTGGTCATTTGTTGGTGAGATTTAGCGCTAAACATTCTTCAGCTCGAATATTGAATAAATCAATCGTACCTGACATCACGACATTAAATATATGAAACAGTTTTGCAATTTCATTTTTCTTTATTTTATTTTGGCTGAATACAAATTTCACATTTCATTAAAAGAAAACATAAAATGAAAGCAACAAAATTTCTACAAAATAAATACATACATTACATAAATACTACAAATAAAACAAAATTTCTACAAAATTTTGTTTTATTACACTGGTAAACACACAGTTTGCTGCCGGAAATTTTTTACTGTTTCTAGGTAATTTGGGTCTGCTGAATCCAAAAATGCCACCAGATTTGCTTCATCAAATCGTTTTACAAAAATCATCACACATATCTGCCAAAAAATCTGAACTTTTCATATAACCTAACCAGCATCGCAGCACCTAAAAGCTTCCTTTTATATGATTTTCCTGCAAAGCTTTAAAAAGACGGTCCCTTTGAAGACTCCAGCAGCAGTAATCCGCCATCATGTCAGTGTCCCATCTCCCCCGATACCTCTCTTCCATCGTTTTGATATCTTGGTGGAAGCATTCCCCTTGTTTCCCATTAAGGTCACCAAGATTTTCTGGGAAACGGTCTAAGTTGCTGTGGGGGTAATGAATTTTAATACTCATATGACAACCGTGTTTGTTAAAATAGTTGAGCATTTCTTCCACTACATCCCGGTAATTTTTCGATTTATTGTTTCCAAGAAAATTTTCCACAACTTCCACAAAAGAGCACCATGCATTACACTCAATTTCAGTCATCGATTCTGTAAAATGTGAATCTTTTATAAGTCGTCGTATCTGAGGCCCATCAAATATTTCGACTTTCAATTTTTTTATACTGAGTGCGGGGAATTTGCTAAACAAGTATTCAAAACAAGGACGATTCTGGTCTAGTGCCTTTACAAATTCTTCCATAAGCCCTAGTTAAATATGTAACGGAGGTAATATTATTTTCTCTCGTTCGACCAATGCTTCGTTAACTACGTTAGCTTCTCCTTGAACTAAAGCATCTCTAGAATAGCATGTTCTTCTACTCCTTAGCCTTGCTATCCCAAAGACACAGGAAACAAGGATATTTTGTATAGCCACCTTGTTATCCTAGGAGAAAGTTCACCATCTTAAAATCAACACAGATCGCATACTTGATGTTTTTTAGCACCAGCGATATTGTTTTACATTCTTCTTTCAGTTTTGTAGAATGCCCAATTGGTATACTTCCATATTTGTTGCCATTATGTAGAAGGACACACTTTAAACTTCGTTTGGAACTGTCGATAAAAAGACGCCAGTGATCTGGTGTATACTCCGATACACCCATTTTTTCTAACAGTCCTTTAATATTGTTACAAAAAACCATATCACCTTGCTGAGAAAAAAAAAAGGCAAAAGATCCTTTTCTCTATTAGGGTAGTATGTAATTTTGGTGTCTGGGTGAAGAAGTTTCTTTTCCTTCAGTCTGAAGGCAAGCAACTCGGAAGAATCCTTTGGAAGGTTCAAATCTCTAATGATATCGCTTAGCTCTTCCTGAGTAAAGCACTCAGGACGTGTTGAATCTCCTTCAAAATAACCCTTGTCTTTCTCAACTCTATTAGTCTATAGTTCGTCAGACAACGTTTCGACATTATCCTCTGGTAACGTAGGTAGGCTGCTAAATATTGAAATGGGTATCTGCTCAAGCTGATGTGGAATTGGTCTTATTGCTGAATCCAGGTTAGGATATGTCCACGTATGTCAATTGTTATGATTAATGCCCTTTATATTCACAAGACAGAAATAGCAATCGTCAAAATGATTTTTTGGTTCCCTCCATACCATTGGAACACCAAACTTTAAACATTTTCATTGTCCTTCCGTCCACTGTCGCAAGTTTTCAAGACAAGTTTTGCACACTACATGTGGAGCCCAGGATTTATCTTGATCTCCTAAATGAACACCAAAATAGGCTTGATATGCCCTTTTTATAAAATCACAAACTGGTTTTCTACTTTCCTTTACAATGTACTCGCCACATATGTATCAAAAAACGTTCGGGTTATTCACACAACAACACTTGCTTGTAAAAGCCATGGTTTTCAGTTGTCAAAAACAGACTATCGCAACGAAACTCAAGTTCAGACTAAATTTTACAATGGAATGCAGTCGACTATACAGGGCTTTTCATGATGAGCGTGAATTAGCCGTTTCTGACAAACTATTTAACGGATCAACCTGAAAATTTCACAGTATGCATAAATCAATATGACCTACACGCCTAAAATATTTCAGACGAAGCGGCGTTGTCGCTTCTACTATAAAGTAGCGGCTTCTTTGATTTTTCAAATGAAACACCCCGTATATAATATCATATTATGATTCATTATCACTTTGTCAACAAATTCATATACTATTTCCCTATAC